TTTGGTTTCTCCTAATAAGCCGCTGATTAACTCCTTAGCCACTTTGTCTAAAAATTCTCTTTCTTGGGTTTCTTGGGCGTAATATATTATAATCCAAAATTTGGTATCTATGAGACAGGCACGCTCAGGACATACGCCCGCGTAGGAAAAAAAAGATATTAGGGGGGACATATAAGGGGGGTAAAAAGAAAAAAAGGGTTCTTATTGAGGTTAGCTTTTTAAAAAAAAGAAAAAGAACAAAAAAATTGCCGGAAAATTGAAAAAAAAATTGTTTACATTTATATACACATACGCGTTAAGTAAAAATTAAAGGAAAATTGAAACGGAAAATTGAATTAAGTAAAATTATAGACAAAAAGAAAAATTGAAGCAAATTCAATATAAAAGTATTAAGGAAAAATATATAAAGAAAAACAAAAGGAAAACAAAATTGAACCAAAGGCAATTTGCTCTCAAAAAAATCAAAATTGAAAGGCTAATTTTTTTTTCAAGCCGAAAACGACATTAGCAGTCTTATTTCTAAATTGCCTTTTTTTAGTAAGTAGGTAAGTTTAGGAATTTAAATAATAAGAGAAAGGTTGGGGGCTAGTTAGTTAGCTATATACATAGTATATATAAATTACTAGATAGTTAACTAATTACACTCCATAAATTAAAAATTTATTGCGTTTAAATAAATAAAATGCGGGGCAAAATTAGTAAGTTAGCATTTTTTTCTTTTAAATCAGTAATAATCAATATCTTAGAGCGAAAATAAAAGTTTAAGGAAAATAAACAATTTAGTTCATTTAATTAATTATAGTCCAAAAGTATATTAATTTATAAGCCAAAAATCAAATTAAGTATAAATTTATAGGTAAGAGAAAAGAATAAGCAAATTCAATATAAAATATCCTTAAAAAAAGTATAAAGATAAAATAATTAATATTCTGAAAAGTTAAATTAAGAAAAAAAAAAGTAAGTGGGGCGAATTTTTTGAGTATGTATAGTGGGCAGTTAGTTAGATAACTATATATAGTTATTTATAATTTACCGCCCATTTTTTTTCTTAATTCTTCCATTTGTTTTTTTAATTGGGGGTCTTGGTTAAGAATGTTGAACATGCTGTCCATATTGCCTTGGTCCAGTTTTTTTTGGAGTTCTTGGGCTTTTTTTAGGCTAGTTAGAAGTTCCTCCATGTTTTTAAAGCCTAATTGTTGGAGAATTCGTTTTTCAATATGCTTTTTTACTAAATAAAAGCCGATAAATATCCCGGCAACTAGACTGAGGGGAATTATTAGTAGTAATCAATAAATGTTGATAGTTATCATACTTATTTTTTACTTCACATAAAATAACAAAGGGTGGCGGTTAAAACTACCGACAAAAATCAGACTACCGCACTAATAAGCCAAAATTTCTTTTTTTGCCTTTCTTGCTCTTGGGCTTGTTCTTCTTGCTGTTGTTTTTGCTGTTCGTGTCATTCACTTAATTCTTGGCTTCACTTGTTAATTTCCTGGTGAACTTGTTCCATATAAACTTTCTGATTAGCAATTAAAGACTTAACTGCTTCTTTACTGGCTTTTACTTCCTCTTTTAAAATTTGGTTAATTTCCTCGCGGACTTCTATTTGTTGTTCTACTAAATTAACCGCATTTTGGACAACGGCCATAGTTTCTTCTTTGGATTTAGTTTGTTCGGCAATTTTAGTTAATTCGGAGTTTTCTTGGCTTTGGGTTAAAGCAAAATCTGCTAAAATTTGTTGTTGATTTTGTTTAGTTTCTTCAATTTTATTGGCAAAAGTTTTTAAAGTGTTGGTGAATTTGGTTTGTAATTGTTTAGATTTTTTATTCATAATTATATAAGATTATTTTTCTTCATGAAAATTATTTCATTCTTGTAAGAATTTGTTTTGATTTTTTTCGATAATTTCTAATAATTTAGTTTGTTCGTGGTCGGGAATATTGCGTACTTTGGCGATAATTAGAGTTTTTAATCAAATTTTCATTCTTCCGTCCGGACCTTTAATATGAAGGTGAGCCGGTTCATTATTTTCATTAGAGTTAAAGTAAAAGCGGTAGCCGAATTCGCGGTGAATGGTAGGCATTAATTATTGCTTAATCCTTCTACAAAAGCTTTTACGCTAATATCTTCGTCAATTTCTGGTCAGTGAATATCGTAGCCGTCAAAGGCGATTTCAAAGTTTTGTAATTGTTCTAATTTAGCTTGGCGTAATCTTTTAAATCAAGCGGTGGGAATACTAGTTATCCGGCCGTCGGAAAGAGTGGCGGTGATTTTGTGTCTTTGACACTGTAAAGAAACAATGGCTGGATATTCTTTTTCTTTGGTTGGCTGTGAAGGTTGTTGGGCAGTTTGGGGTTCTTTTGTTCTTGGTTGGGCTTTCATATAGTAGTTTTTAGCGTTTTTTTGTTTCTATTTAACCTTATTCGTTTTCTCCGTATAAATAAAGACTTGGATAGTTTTTTAAGATATAGGGGGAATTTATGGGGGTTAAAAGAAAATATATATAAAAAAGAAAAGTCGGAAAAAGTTAGTAAGTTAGTTAGTGGTTTAATTGGAAGTTAGTTAACTAGTTAGATAATTATTTCTCGGAGAATTTTAATTAATTGTTTTTCAGTGGATTTTTTACCTAAATAAATTAAAGTTTTAATTAGTAAACTAGCACTTATTTTTTTGCGGGGATTTTGATTATTTAATTTATTTAATATTTCTTGTAAATCTTGTCAAGTTTGATTATCTAAACGAAAACTGCGAATAGTAGAATTTATTTTTTGATTGAGAAAAGTTGATTTTTCTTCGGGAAGATTAGTTTGTAGTTTGCTTTTTTGAGCCCTTTTTTGTAGTTTATTTGTCATACAATTGTATTATTTTTGTAATACATTTAGTTAAAATTTTATAATCTTGTATACTTTTACTATTTGGGGCATAAGTTTGGAGAGGTTCGTTAGTTATGCGGGCTTGGTTGATTACTTCGGCCCGGTGGATGATGGGGGGGAGGAGTTTTTTTTGGTAGGGTTTTAATTCTGTTTCTAAATAAGCATTAGTTTGTTTGTTACGAATATCAATGTTGTTTCTTAGAATGAAGTAGTTTAAATCTTTGTTTTCTTTGATTTCTCGGGCGGTTTTTAGCAGGTCGGCCATGCCGTCGAGGGCTCCTTTGTCGGCGGTTAGGGGGATTAAGAAGAAATCACAAGCATATAAAGCATTAATAGTAATTATTCCTAAATTAGGCGAGCAATCTAATAAACAATAATCAAAACCGCTTATTTTTTTTAAATGGTTGGCGAGTATTTTTTCTCGGTAAATATTATTAATTTGTTCGGCAGTTTTGGCTAAACGAATATTACTACTAATTAAACTTAAATTATTTATTGGTTTATCTTTTAGGTAGGCAGAGGTAATTGCTCGGTTGATATTGGCTCGGGTATTAGCAAAAAGGTCTTTTAAGGTGAAACCAGCGGGTTCTTTTTGGTAAATTTGGCAAGCATGAGCTTGGGGGTCACAATCAATTAAAAGAACTTTATAGCTTTGGGCTAGCTCATAGGCTAGATTAACCGCAATGGTGCTTTTTCCTACTCCGCCTTTTTGGTTTATGATAGCAATTGTAAACATATATAATACATTTTTATTATTTTTGTAATACAATTATAATACATTAATAATTATTTATCAGAGAAAATTTACTTATCTTCTCTTTAAGTATTCATTAATCTTTCTATAATATTCTTGGGCTCGTAAACTTTGTCCGTTAATTGGCTTAAATTTGTTTCTTAAAATTAATTTTCGTTTATTCATAATTATTTTTTTTAATAATTTCTTTTTTTTTGGCTAATCATTTTTTTAAACTTTCTTCTCTGGCTAATCCACTTAAAGGACTTTTCAATTCTTCTTTTTCATAGTCAAAAACTTCTTTTTCTTTTACTCCTATCTTTTTTATTTTATTTAATGCAAACATAACTACAACTTTGGATTTTCAATTCAAAGATCCAAAATTCCTCATGAATGCCTTAGATAAGTTCAAACAAGTTAGCCAGCAAGACCTCCATCGCTTTTTAGCCAGCGACCACCGCGATTTTAATGTTTTAAGCGTCTCTTTTAAACAAATATTAAGCACTCAACGCACAAGCGTGATATTATCTAAAAATAGTGCTAAAAGTTTTTACCTTAAAGACAAAAACCGAGCAAAACCAGTTGAAATCAACCCTAAGCCTACTCCTCCGGTCGACTGCCGCCAAGACGCTCAAAACTGCTCCTACTTTTCTTTATTTTCCAGCAAAGAAAAACGCCTTCACACCCTTTTTAAAGATAAAATAGAAGCTAATTTCGAAGGAACCGCAGAAACTCGCCCACTTTTATTCTTAACTCTAACTTTTAACACTACTCGCCAAGACTTATCCGCCTTCACCACTAACTGACCGCAATCCGATACTTGTTGAGAGCCTTTAACCGCTAAAAAGCCTTGGCTGAGGAGATGAGCTAACCAATTAGACCCTGCCGCCGAGCCTTTAAAGGTCAAAATCCTTAAAACCGACCCAGAAATCGCCCGCAATTTTAACCAAGCCAGTAAAGCCCTAAGCCAATTCCTCCGTAAAGTCCGCCATACTTTTAAACCTCCTAACTGAAAATGAGTGGTAATTGCTGAACTGCAAAAAAACGGTCACTGACACTTCCATTTTCTCTCCACTCCGCTTATTCCTTACGCTCATAACTGCACTTTAACCAAAAACTTTAAATCCTGTTGAAATTGCCGCACTTATTTAACTAAACTTTGACCACACGGAAGAGTGGAAAGCCGCAGCACAGGTCGCCGAACTATTAGCCAATATTTAGCCAAATATTTAAGCAAAAGTTTTCACTTACGGCAAATTTATCAGCAACACGGCCTAACTTCTCAGCATAAAACTTATCGCTTTTTTAAAAACCTCTATTCTTACGAGCAAAGAGAAGCCATTCTTAAAAACGGTGCCAAATGCGACCAGTTAACTGGGCAATACTTGCCTCGCAATCAGCACATTTTTCGCCACTCTGATAATTCCTATCACTACCGCCTTAACGAAACCTTAACCGGACACTGTGCTAAGCCGCTTTTGATCAGAAAAAGTTATCGCTTGGGCTATCATGTTTTAAGCACCCTTCCTCTGCTCCAACTGGCTCGCCAAAGCCAACTAAACGAACCCTTAACTTTCCGCAAAAAACCAACTACTAAACTAGTCCCCCAAGATTTCCAAGAATACTTAATAACTAGCCTACTTTTACTGGCTAAACAAGCCGAATTTGTTAATCTTCCCTTAGAACAGTCCCAAGTTCCCCATAATGGCTCTAAATGCGACCAATTAGATTATACTCACTTCCAAAAAAAACCTATTCTTCGCTTTAAATTCGCCCGCGCAAGTGCTAATTTAGTTAAAGAATTCATGCTTAATTTAGATAACCAAGCCCAAACCTTGGACCTCGACGAAGCCCAAAACTTCACCGATAATCGCTTCCCCGACCCTCTTCAATCTAGAAATGCTTACTTAAACCGCTGAATAATTGACTATCATGTGCCGTGAAGGCGGGAGGGAAGAGTTATGACTTAAAGACACTTGAACTTGGGTGAGTTAGAGGGGTGAAGCTAAATAGTAACCTACTCTTCCCAGTGGCCTACTTGCCTAAGTTCTTCTTTATTTCTGACCAATGGCCACCAACTAGTTGGCTTACTAGCTAAAAAAGCCCAACCAAATAAAATATGAAACAATTAAACAAACTCTCCTCACGGAGCGGGGTGTCAGCCGACCACGCAACTCAACGGCTAAAAAAACTAAAAGCATGCTTTGCTTGCGGTAATCAGTTCTTAACTTACCGTGCTTATGATTACTGTTCTCCGTGTTCTTTAAACAAAATTCGCTATATTCCGGGAAGGTTTAAGCCTAATCTTTGCCTTGAATGCGGCGATGGCTCGGGGTGAATTAAGTTCCCCCAGCAGCCCATTAGAGCCTGTAAACTTTGCTCTTTACAACCGCAAATAATCCAAAAGGAGGTTAAGCATGGATAAAACGCTTAACATTTACCAAAAACTTCACCAAGTTCAAGCCCAAACCGGGCAAATTAGCCGCACGGAACTCAATAAGTTCCAAAACTATAAATATTTTACCGAACAACAAGCCTTAAACATCCTTAAACCTTTATTAAATGAGCAGCAATTAACCCTCACTTTCAGCGACAGTGCGGACAGTTTTAGCCAACAAAAGCAAGAAAAAGAATGAGTCATTCGCTACCTTAAACAAGCCACTTTAACTAATTCGGAAACACCTGAAGAGCAACTAACCTTTAACTTCTGAGCTACCGGCAGCAATAACGACCCGGCCAAAGCCAAAGGTTGTGCGGAAACTTACGCCATTAAATACTTCTTAACCAAGTTTTTTAATCCCTACGACCGATGAATTAGACCCCGATGTGACCAAAGATACTGAGCATTTAAACCGTAAAGCCGATGGTAAAAAAGAAACCCCCGAGGAAATCCAACGTCGGCATAAAGAGCGAGATGACAAGCGAATAGCCGAATTAAAGCTAAAATACGGGGCCGACTGGCAATTATCTAACGAATATAAGCTTTGAAAGGGAGGCAGCTTATAATGAACTGAGAAAAAAGCCAAGCCCAAATCCTCCAAAATGCCTTAGACTTAGCTAATCAAGCCCCTAATTCTCTAACTAATCAACAACTTTTAAGAATTCTAGGCGAACGAATTGCTCGCAGAGAGATTGAATACTTAAATCCTTTTTTATTTATCAAAAATGAGGGGCAAACAGGTATCTCGGTATGTTTAAAGGATGGCCAAGTGGTAGAAAAGGAGGCTTCCCATGAATAAAAAACTAGCCCAAAAAATCATCGCTAAACTCGCTAAACTAAACCAACTATTAGACCGAATTGACGAGTCACGAATACTTAACGCCACGGACCCCGAAACTTGAAGTTCCGACCTCCTTTATGACCTAATAGCTAACCTTAAAAAAACCTTAAATCTTTTAGAAGACCAAACAATTAAAGGTAAATACGATGAATTTGACCAACCTTTAACTGAACCCGGTCTGGCCTCTTTAATGGATGATTATGAAAGCGAGGATGAAGAAGATGAATAAACTTCTACGGCAAATCACCCAACTACGGCAAGAAAAGCAACAATTAAGGCTATTTTTACACGAAATAATTGAAGCTTATTATCGGGTGGTTAATAAGAGCGAGCCCGCAGCAGCCGATAACTCTTCCCCTACTAACCTTTATAATTTTTTCGGCAAGGCCAAACTTTGCTCTTGTAAGCCTAAAACTAACCAAGAAAAGCAACATTTTAAGGAATGCTCTTTAACTTTGCTGAAAGATTTTTACGAGCAAACAACAGGAGAAAGGCATGATTAACTTAACTTATCAGCCTCTAAATTCTTTTAACTTCCCAGCCGGAAGTTACGGCTTAGCGAGAATTAACGGCTGTTTTCACCTCGGTGGCACTAATTACTTCACTTATAAATGCCTTAACTGCGGAGAAATTCAAATTAAAAAGGGCGTCAAAGCCACTAAATGAGGAGGATTTTATGACTTATAACCACTGCCCAACTTGCGGCAAAAGCTTAGGCTTCCTAAACTTCTTTAAATTCTGAAAACCGGCTAAACCTTGCCCCCACTGCGAAAATAAACAACTCTAATGACTAAAAAACGCACTCAATATCTTTATAAATTCACCGGTTTTATCCTCAAAAAATACCAAAAAAAAACCCCCAAATATAAGCAATATTTTTACCAGTTAAAGGTTAATTTAGCTAATTCGCCCTTAACTAAACTTTTTGCTTTTAAAGATAAAGCCAAAACTGCGGTGTGAAACGACCTAGAAGCCGACACTTATTTAGGTAAAAACTACCTTTTTTCTTGTCGGAACTTCCAAGGCAGTTATTATTTAGTGGATTGGGAGGAGGTGAAAGGTGAATAAAGACTGAGTTTTCCAAAAGCCCATTACTATCGATG